CCCCCCTGCCCACCCCACCGGCCCGGGCCGCCCGGCCCCCCCGTTTCACGGGAAACCCCGCCCCCCAAAACACCCCCCCCCCACTCCCCATCACCACAACACCCCAAACTCCCTCACAGCCCCTCAACCCCCCGGCGCCCCTCAGAGCAGCCGCCTCCCATCACAGCGAAACCCGGCCCTCCTGTCAAGGCCGCCGCTTACGCAGGGCCGGGCCCGCGCTCCACCAATAAACCGAGCCGAGTTGGACCGAACCGGGCTCACCCGTTCTTAAGGTCCACCTCAAGGATCTTGCCGTAACCCTTGAAGAAACGCTCCACATCCCGTTCCCGCGCCTGGTAGCTGAGGCGCCCGATGTACACCCGCGGCATCGCGCCCGGGGGGGGGCGGGAAGGGGCGGCGCCAAACGGCGGCGCTGCAACGTCACTACGCCGCGCGGCGATGAGTGGGGGGGCGATACGTCAGCACAGGCCACGCCCACCCGGCGGTTCTTAAAAGGGCCATGGCACGAGTGGGCCCACCTGCCCCAAAGTCACCGGGTGGGGGATATCGACCCCAGTATCGGGGTCCCAAGCGTTTTCTCGGTACGAGATTCCACCTCCACCTCATCAGACCGTTCTAATATTAATTAAATGCCACGGACCTCAGTGCTTCATTTTTTTTTTTCTCCCTCCCTATAGGGAGACCCCAAAAGCCTGATTTTTGCCCCCCAAAAGGTGAAGCGGGGCTGTAATTGTTATATTGCATATGGGATGTTGCTCAAAATGAGAAACCCGCTCTAAGGGCAGAGTTGTTCCCTCCACTCTCCATCAGCCCCTGCTCCAGGCTCCTGGTGAGCTAACCTAACACTAACCCCAACCCCCCATAGTGCTAATCATAGAATGGCCTGGGTTGAAAAGGACCACAATGCTCATCCAGCTCCAACCCCCTGCTATGTGCAGGGTCACCAACCAGCAGCCCAGGCTGCCCAGAGCCACATCCAGCCTGACCTTGAATGCCTCCAAGGATGGGGTATCCACAGCCTCCTTGGGCAACCTAATGGGGCACAGCCCACCCATGCCTCACCTCTATGAGATGTGGGATTTCCCAGCCCTGAACTGGGAACAGCGAGAATTTCCAGGGGCTGCTGGAGCAACAGAATGCTTTGAGCACATAAACATTTATTGGCAGCATCTTACAAAAATAGATATATCAGACATTGATTTCCAAGAGGTTTCCCTGCGCGTTCCACAGTCACAAGTTGTGGTGGTTCAGTAACAGCAGCAAAACTGAATTCAAGTCCAGGCATTGGAAAAATCACATTGATGGTGGTGAGCTGCCAGGGTGAGCCCAGAGGGTAGAAAATGTACCCATGTTGTCCAGTGTAACTCCAGCCTGCGTGGGTGCCCTGCAATGATGCCAGCACTGCATGTGCTAGGTAGGGAAAAATTAACAACAACAATAAAAAGTAATAATAATACAAATGTCTTAAAAAGTGGTTTTGCAATTCAATCTGCTCCTTTCCCTTGAGATGGCCAAGGGAAGAGCCCAGGCTTTCTGCTGCAACAAACTAAAATGTGACCCAAGTCTCCCTCCAGAAGCAAACCCAGCCTCTTTTCAGTGTGGCCTCTGCAAAATTCCAGAGGCTTTTAATACCTGAAATTAAAAGAAAAAAAAAAGGAAAAAAAAAAAGAAACAATTTATGCAAGAAGTCAGAGCAGGAGAATCTGCTTGGAGGAGATGAAGGGCTGCATAGATGCCACCAAGGCCTCCCTGAAATCCTCCAGTGGGACTGCAGTGCAGGCAGGAGCGCTGAGCTGCCCCTTCCGCACCATCTGGCACAGGGAATCCACCATGCTGGCCATGCTTTGCTTGTCTGTGAGAGAAGAAGGTGGTCACTGTCACCCTGAACGCTGACCCAACCCCCTAATCCAACCCTAATGCATCCCTAACCCCAAGCCTGCAGCTCACCATGGTCCTTCTTCCACTGGGTCACCCAGAAGCCACGCAGCCTCACATCCCTGAAGATGAAGGCACTCTGCAGAAACAGGAGATGAGATCTGTCCCCTTCAGCCTGTTCCTGAGTTCTTGCTAGTGTGAGGAGCCTCTTTCAGAGCTCTAATTTGGGACAGATCCGCTTTGGCAGGTTCACAGTAATGAAATACCATGTGCTGCAGCACCGAGCTGCGTCTCACTGGGATAAAACCCAGTTTCACATCAAGGAGACACACACAGCCCCAGCATACAAGAACAGTTTGCACCAGGACAAATCAGACACTCAGCATCTGTGAGGTTGTTTCAGTGCAGGGACTTCAGCGCAGTCCAAATCCTCCATGAGTGCAACCAAGAGACCCCACAGCAGAATGCAAGGCAGCTCATTCCATAACAAACCCATCAGTTAAAAACAAAGACAGAAATTTGGAGGCTCTGAATGTGACACCCAGACAGAGGACGCACTGAACTCCTGCAGATGTACCCAGTACCATCCCTATACTCACCACTGGCACCGTCACAGGCTGCTTTGCCATTCCTCCATAGGTCACCATGGTCCCTTTGGGTCTGCAGGAGGTACAAGGCCTTGGGTTGCCCACGGGTTGCTCCCCCATCACACCCCAACCCACGTGCCCTGTCTTGGAGCAGGCTCTGAGCCCAGCCCTCAGCCCAGCTCACTGCAGGTGCCGCAGCATCTCCGTTGTGCTCCTGCCTCCAACGCAGTTCAGGGCAAGCCGGGGCTTCGGGATGCTCTGCAGGAAAAAGGAAGGGAGCCCTTCATCAGCACTGTGCAGAGAGCTCCACTAAGCCCATTTGTATTAATGGCTGGGTAAATATATGAGGCGATTAGTGAGTGGCTTAGAGAACTGTATCTATTCCTAATGACTTACAGCCCAGATGTCACGCTGCCTGCCCTGACTCACAATTGCTCATTGCACATTTTCCTTTTTGCTATCCCTGCAGCTCCCACTCGAAGTACAGAGCTGTGGGGCAGCCTCTCGGATGGCCTCGCACTGAGGTACCTTAAATATCTCCTTCATCTCTGGCTTCCTCAGCGCATCCTCTGTCACAACGTGGTCTGCACCCAAGGCCAGCAGCCGCTCCACCAGCTGGGGAAGGTCGGGTCTGGAGGGAGAGAGGCCTTGTGAGGCAGAGATCAGGGCATCTGATCAGGGCATCTTCTGCTGGAACAGGGCTGAATGACAAAGGACCACAGGGATCACTGATGCCAACCCCTGGCTCCACACAGCACCGTCCCAAATCCAAACCCTACGTCTCAGAGCAGTGTCCAAATGCTTTCTCTGCTCTGGCAGCTCATGGCTGTGCCCACTGCCCCATGGACAGACTGTTCCATGCCCACCACCCTCTGGAGCAGAACCTTTCCCTATCCCCCACCTGTCTGTCTGTCCACTGACAGAGCTCCATGCTGTTCCCTCAGACAAGAAGGTGTGTGACCTTGTCATAAAAGAAGATTAAGTTCATTAACCGGGACTTTCCCCTCATGAAATTGTGTTGGCTGTGACCGCATTGCCTTCCAGGTGTTTCTCAATAACTCTCAGAATAATCTCCATAATTTTGCCAGGCACTGAAGCAAGCCTGGCAGGCCTGTAATTACCTACAAAAGCCCCAGTGATGCACAGACTATGCAAATGAACTACAGAAAACCGAAATACAACAGAATCAGACCCTCTATGATTGAGTCTTCACCACCTTCTCTGGGCTGAACACGCTCAGAAGGAACCTCCAGTCCCCACACTGTGCCTCCTTCCCCTTCTCCCACCTCACGGCACTCACCTGTCCCTCACCACATTGATGGTCCTGATGCCCATGGCCTTTGCAATCTGGATGACAGCCTGCCCCACACCGCTGTTGGCCGCGTTCTGGATGACGGAGTCCCCTGGGGAGCACAGGTTTGGCACAGCCAGGTGGGCTCACCCCCCCCCCCCACCCCCCTGCATCACCCCAGCACACAACGTACCCGGCGCCAGGCTCTCAAAGTCGGTCAGCATGCGGAGTGCTGTGCAGGGGTTGATGCTGAGCGTGGCAGCACACAGCAGTGGGATGTCACTGGGCACACGCAGCAGGTTGTCCTCGGGGAGCACCGCGTGCGTCCGCCACGTCCCTGTGCAGTGGGGAAAGGACAGCACTGGCAGACCTGGCACTGCACCCTAACTCGCATTGCTGCAGCACTGCCTTGCAGAGCATGGGGTGAACATCATACTGCAATATATTAAACCTTTTCCTCAATGGCTAGAGCCAGGACATTTATGTAAGTAAAGAAAGAGAAAGCCTGAAACAACGTGCAGGCTGGATATACTTAGATCTGATTTAACCCCTATCATCCATTTACTTTTTTTTTTTTCCCTTTATGTTTAAAAATATCGCATTTGGATCTTAACTAGATGGCTTTCGGTCTCCCATTAAGTGAAAAAGCCTTTTAAGAAGAAATAGGGAAGGAACAAGCTGTTAGACTAAATGGGAACCGACAATTTCTCTGGCCATTGGCGTGCTGGAGTAGCACGAGAGGCATTTGTTGGAAAATAAATTCCCAAGCTTTCCCATCAGAGCACTATTAGGGAGGAAACTGTAATGAGACAGAACTGCTCTTGCACAGGTTAAACACTTTATCCTGTGTCTTTACAGAGGCCATCATCAGCTGTGACAAAACACGCTTGTTTCCAGAGAACAGATTGCTGTGATGCTCCGTAATAGTGCACAAGGGCCATAAAGGGTTTGCACTATAGAAAAGTAAATGATTTCTGGATTAAAGCTGAGCACACGCTTTCAGCACACAGCAGTGGGCGCCGGAGAGATGGAGGCTCTGCATCCACAACCTTCCCCCAGGCAGGGTGCACCCAGGGCCCATCCCCAGACTCACCAAGCCCAGCATCAGCAGGGATGATGCAGTCCCCAGGACTCAGTGTCACCACGCCAGGGCCGACCTCCAGCACGCGCCCAACGCCTTCATTGCCTGCCACGGCTGGCAGTGGGGCCAGGAGGGCGTAGGTGCCTGCAGGGAGCAGGGTGAGAGCCACGCACAGAGCCAGGATAGGGACTGATGCACAGTTCTATGATGCACAGCCAGTTGTAGGCAGCAAGAAACTACCTTGGATCATGTTGATGTCGGCCGGGTTGATGGGTGCTGCCAGCATCTTAATGAGGACATCTGAGTGTCCCAGTGCAGGCAGCTCCAGCTCCTTCAGCCTGGTGGGGACACAGTAATTGCAGAGAGATTCATTCCAGTATTACTTCTACAAAGCATCAGCCATAAGCAAAGCAGCACTATTTCCCCATCTACATTGCTACAGCCTGGTCTCATCCAGCAAGAAATAAAATCTCAATATCTAACAGAGCATCTGCGCTGCTCCTCCAGCCTGTCCCCCTGCTCACAGCATTGCCTCACACCATAGAATCATTGACGTTGGGAAAGACATCTAAGATCACTCAGTCCAACCCCCATCATGCCCACTGACCATGTTCCTCAGTGCCACATCTCCAAGTTTCTCTGAACACCTCCACGAACAGTGACTCCATCACTTTCCTAGACAGCCTGTGCCAGTGCTTTCTCTCTCTTTCTGGGAAGAAACTTTTCCTCATCAGTCAGGTGGACCCAAAAGCACATCCTGCCCTTCCAAACCCCTTTGCCACCAAACCGTTTTCATGGAAATCCATGGAAAACGCCCTTACACCATGGCTGGGTGAGGCAGAATCCAAAATTATCCAAACTGAACAAGATCTTCAAGGCCACCAAGTCAACCCAACCCTCCGAGTGCCACCAGCAAGCCGTACCCCTGCTAGTTACTATCTTCCCATCACCAAACTACTCAGCCCATTGCTGCTGCGCACAGGGGCATTCATTTTTTGGCTGCCTTGGGCCACGAACCTTCCAGTAAAGAGGACACAGGGGGTGCAGGGCTGCGTCCCACTGCCCACAGATGCATCAAGCAGCATTCACACCATGACACACAGAGTGGGGACGAGGGAGCTGGTGGTTGCCTGACCCACTGCAGGCCAGGGCAAAGTCATCTCCTGTTTGCAAGATGAGGGCAATTGGAGCCACATTGAACAAGTGAAGGAGGTGGCTGGACCTGGTGCTGCCAATTTTCAGGGCGGTTATTTGCTGCAATTATGTGCTGCTAAATGTGTGCCATTAGAACAACCCGCTGAATTTCCTTCACTGTTCGTCCTGAGCCGGCAACGTGGTTTTCCCTTTTTCCCTTTGAAACTGCCTTGGTGATGGATGTGGAGACAACTCAGAGTTCTGAACGCTTAAGATCTGAGCAAAAAGCACAGCGGCAGCCCAGTGTCAAGCTGCTGTGGAAAAATCTTTTTATTATAAAATAAAAAATATGGAGGGATTTTTGGCCAAGGCTGCCAAAACCCAACGTTGTGCAAGAAGGCATTGTGCAAGGATGAGGCTGTGTCATCTGGAATGGGTTTGAGGGCTCATCCCACCCTGCCTGAGCTTTAGGGGAAGTCGGATCTGTTTCCAAACATCTGCAACAAGACACAGAGAGGTTCACCCATCACAAGGTGGGTCTTGCACAAGCAGCAGGGTGAGGACGGCTGCTCCTGCCCCATGTCCCAGCAAATCTCAGTGCTGCTAAACAGTGTGGTACAATTAAATGGTCCAAAGAGAAATAATCATCTGCTTGCCTGCCCCAAAGAGTGGTTTGGGTTCTGTATGCACCCAGATCTGCGCCTTCCATCGTTCTGTGCAATTTGAAACAGCTCAGCTGCATCTGCACATCCCCAGCATTTCCTCTCTTGAAAAAGAAAGCAGAAAAAACTTCCCTCTTCTGAACCTTTCTGGCCATAATTTGAAGAGAAATAAACCTGTACTGCTGCTGTGCCTTGGGTGGTGCAGCACCTGCAGGAACCCCTACCTGCAACCCCAGGAAACACTCTCATTCCTGACCCTGCATACCCAACTGGGGTCAAAGTGGGGTGCAGCAATGCAGGCTCCCCCAGGGAACACTGAGGAACTGGGGGGCCGCCCCTTCCCTGTGTGCTGAACTACCCTGGCACCCCCACACTGTGCACCCCCAAAAAACTCCACATCATCCCTGTGTTTACCTCCACCCTCTACCCCTGCCCTGCACTGCCATGCACCCCTGCCTCACCCCTACACCCGCTGTCCCCATTACAGTACGCCCCTTATACACTCACACCATGTATCCCCTACCATAAACCCCAAACATCTGAACTCCTGATACCTGCACCCCATACAATACACCCTCCTTGCAATGCAGCTCTCTATACTTGCACCCTTTTGCAATGCACCCCTGCATATCTGCACCCCCTGCAATTGCAACCCCCATATCTGCATCCCCTCATATCTGCACCCCCTTCAATTACACCCCCCATATCTTCACCCCCCTATATCTCACTCCCCCATATCTGCACACACTGCAATGCTCCCCCCATAACAGCACCTCCTTCAACTGCAACCCCCATATCTGCATCCCTCCGTATCTGTACTCCCTGCAATGCTCCCCCCATAGCTGCACCTCCTTCAATTGCAACCCCCATATCTGCACCCCCCCATATCTGCAAACTCCATACCTTCACCCCCCCATATCTGCACCCCCTGCAATTCCACCCCCTATATCTTCACTCCCCCATATCTGCACCCCCTGCAATGCACTCCCCCATACCTGCACACCCCCCGTATCTTCACCACCTTCAATTGCACCCCCTGCATCTTCACCTTCCTATAACTGCACCCCCCACAATGCAACCCCCCATAACTGCACCTCCTTCAACTGCACTCCCCATATCTGCATCCCCCCATATCTGTA